GCGCGCTTTCGTATCTCCCTGGCCAGCGTTTATCAAGGTGTACTTGCAAAGGAGAATCCCATCCAGGACCTATGCACTCGGATGGGACATACGTTGGTCGGTCTGCACCCGAAATTGATGTTTTCGAATCACAGGTGTGGTAGTTCATTTTTTATTCTGATAGGCTTCCCAACAACCGTAGGTCACCACCGAAGGTCAAGTTTCTCAATCTGCACAGTGGGCTGTAAGTACAAGGTCTTTGTCAAGCGTCCTGACTCACAATGAAGACAGCCTATGAACCATGCGTACCAATGGTCCAACACGTCGCAAAACTATAAGATTCCCAACCCAGATGTCACCCAGCTCAACTCGTACCTCGGCGGTGTCTACCAGCAGTCCACATCTGGTGTCACGAACACAAGTGAGTCAGATTTATCTTGTAACTGTTCAGACGCTAACCAGATTTTAGACCAAAGTTGCTACACGCAAAACTCTGGCTGCTTTTCGACATATGGATACGAGTACAAGCCAGGTATCTATCGTCTTTAGTGTTTTACACGAGTTAACGGTGTCATCAGGTTACTCAGCTGATGGAGGCGTAAGTGAAACCCACAGTTTTCCTATGGTTATTATTGATGCAGTCTTTACGCAGTACATCAGTTGGATCACAAATGATGTCGTTGGGTGGACCCTTGATGCCGGCGCATTGGTAGCTGATTCCGCGACTGAAATTTCAGACAGACCAATTCCCCAGGAGCCAATGGTCAGAACATCATTTTTAGGCTGTTCTTTAGCTCATGCTCTTCGTAGTACCTTATCACCAACTTGGGCATCTCTGAGAACTTCCAAACGGTTGACTTCACGAACCTTATTTTCCCAGCTACCATGCGGATAGACTGGATTCGTGTCTACCAGCCTCAAGGCTCTATCAACATCGGCTGTGACCCTAAGGATTTCCCGACGGCTGCATATATCAATGAGTACGCACTACACTTTCACTGATACTGATTTAGTTTATGCCCCGTACGTTCAGGTATATTGAGGCATACACAAACCCGAACCTGACGACTTGGAGGAATGACTTTCAACAACCCTTCCCCAAAAACAATCTCACGACCGGGTGCTAGCGGTACATACATACTTATTCGGTCGCCCGTTTTCTGTTGTTTTTGTTTTTACGGACCTTGATACCGTCGGACTGGTATCATCCAGACTTGTTGTCTGTCATTTCCAGGATTTCATTCGTTTTTGTATACCTCCGGGACCCTGTGCACACTTCCCTACGTGTTCTATGCCCTGTTTGCCCTCCCCATATTGTTTGTTCTCTGTAGAGGTCTGTCATCTACACCTATGTTCAACGGGCATATTTGAGTATATCATATTCTGTAGAGGTTGGTTGGAATAATGAAAGGCGTTAAGATTAAGAGTGACCTGAATTCATTCATACCACTTGCGATTACATGATTACGTGTTCGAATATCCAATAAAGACATAAATCCTACATCCGGTCAAAAAGTGTTTGCAGTTTGGACAGCGTTCGTTCCAGCATGATGATGCCGCCTGCAGTCAGGCGGGGCACTGCAAGATTCTCATCTACCTCTGTGTTTTCTGGGCCCGACTGACTCTTCTGGATTAGTGCTCGGGAGTCGTTTAGGACTTTGGATAGCCTGCCCTGGGAATTGTACAACCAGTTGATCTCTGCCTCTAGTCCACCGAGAGGAATCTCCAAGGCGCGGCGAACAAATCCACGGGATAGGACATATGCCTTCTCACTGTAAAGTCGACTACATAATACGATGGAGTGAGTCATAGGCAGATGCGAGGAATTGAACGTGGACGCCACCTGTTAACCATGCCTTCCTCAGTACCCCTCAATTTTTCGTACGCAGGTTCACAGAACCAACTAGAAAGTACTCAGCAAGTTATAAAAGAGAAGACAGGGTGCAGAAACCTACGGCTCTTTCACCAACACCAGACCCTGTATCGACACAAAGGCCTGGAGAAGTGAAGATCTTGCCGCGCTCCACGTTTCCGTGCGGTCTCCACTCCACGTCCCGAGGATGGACAAACAAACTTTGCCTTCCTCGTACAAGTTTCTGAGTCCTGGTTAGCCGAGAGTAGCGCTTTCTTCATCCTCACTCACGGATTAACGCGACCGTTGCCGTTGGTCCAACTCAAGAAGTGAGCAATCGGTGGACTTTGAGGGAAGTTTGAGTCAAGCATCCAATCTATTACAAACGGTGCGTCTTCATAGGGTGTATTTTCCGGTCCAATAATGAGGCATCTCAATAAATCTGCACGATCCTCGTATGCACGGACGAGGATTGAATCTGTTTTGATTAGTATACGTGAAGCAAATGGGAGGAATGATTGATGATACAGACCTGGTAGGCTGGTTGAGAGCGCACGGTACTCTTTCGTCAGACGCGCGAGGAAATTCTTCGACGGCTGATTCGATACAGACGAATAAAATGCATGGTCATGGGGTGCACTTGGGAGAACTTCGAATTTCTTCCATGGAGAATCGGCATGACCGTCCTCATCTTCCTGAACAATAATCTCTTGGGTACTATCTGGCGATGTGTTGGACGACGATACTGGGAATGGTGAGTCCGAATCGGTCACGTCTGAAGTTACATCGTGTGATATCAGAGAATCTGGGATGCCATCACCCAATGGGATATCAATTTCGTCGGCCCAGGTGTCCACGTCCATTCCATCGCCATCCTCATCACTATCCTCCTCGTCCTCCCATTCTGAATCGTCATGGTCGTAGCGCCATGTGCCATCTGCATCTAGATGCCACACACCCTCGGTGTTGTCAACATGAGAGCCTTGATCGGATCCGTCTTCACCCTCCCAGCCATCATCTTCAAATTGTTCAAGAGTGTCGTAAAGCTTGGTCAGCCGTGAGAGAGGGTAGATAGCCATAGATCCATTCGGATGGGTGACATCGACTGTTCCGTCAAGACGAAGCTTCGAATTAGAGTTAGTTCAGAAGCAGATGATGCAATTCGGTAGGGGACTCACCCCAGTGACCTCTCCAAACCATGACAGAGATGCATTGTCCCGCGTTGGATGTTTGACACGGGAAACAGTGGGCTTTTCTTTTCGTTCGGACGCTATTTTCGTCCCCATATCTGCCATCGTGCGCCTCCAACCGCTGAATTCTCCGTCAGGCCTAACTGGCACCTCTCTCACCCACTCCTCGATCTCGCCGATTCTCGGAACTCGAGGGGATTCAAAACCATTTGAGGCGCCCTCACGGTGGACGAATACCTTGTCACCACGGCGCACGCCGAGATGGGTATGTGGAGTGCCTGCCGCCCAATCACTGACACCGTTTGGGTCGAGTTCAAGAACAGAAACAGTTTCAGTCTTGCCAGTACTCGTGAAACGAATGACGGCGACTCGATCAGTAGAATTGACCGATTGAACAACGGCTGCGTGCTCTTCACGCTCAAATTTCCATAGGACGTGGTCGCCTGGCCTGAGGAACCATGTGTTATTCAATGCCATACAAGACATAGCGAAGAAACCTTACCAGCAGTCATATTCATCCGGATTCAGGTATGGAATCAGCTCCGTGGAAGGGAGGCTCTCCTGTGATCCATCTTGCCAAAGAACATTGACGACCGTTTTCGTCTCCCTCACGCATAGGGTCTTGATCGTCATGGCGCCATTTGATTCTGACTCGACACCGTATCTTGTGACAGGCACGCCTGCATCGTTCTCCAGCAGAATCTTATCCCCGACACGTACATCATCCACACGCATCCTAATCACTGTCAATTTGGTCAAATCTTCGCCAGACCAGAAACGTGCTGGTCGCTGTTTGAGTTGGGCGACACTAGGATTCAACTACACAATGCGCTAAGAATGTGAGGGACTGAAGAAGATAAAGAGACCTACACTTTGATTTACCGCTAGCCAACAGATGGCTAGTATTGTGCGCTTCATATCTATGACAGTGTCATCCGGGCTAGGTAGTGGGGCTCCTTTAGGATAATTCACTAGCCCGTGAAGTGCCTCGGGGTCCGGTAGAATGTCCTTAAAAAAGTGAGCGCACAGAACAGTAGACACCCAGGTGGAACCTACCGGCCCCTTGTCGCCAATTGTCAGACGAGAGCTAATTTCAGGTAAGCGGACGAAGGCGCCAGACGCAGAAACAAGAAGTTCGTCGAATAGCTATGGGAATCGTCAACCGTCACTTCTTTGTACCGTAATTATTGCACAAACCTCTATGACCTTCATGTGGGAACTCAGCATGTCATTTCGACTTGCGAGACATTGGAGCGCACCTGTCCAATCCAGTCATCGTAGATAACATAATCTCCACCGTCAACGTCAGTAGCACGTCTGACTTCCCTGATATCTCTCCAACCCTCTACTTGCTCTCCGCTGATTGCGTGCACAAGCCGTGCTTGTACCTCGATGCTGGTCACTACGCCAGAACGAACATCATCAACGCTACGCTTGCAATAATCCCCTGACTGAAATGTTCTATCTACGAGCTCATAGTGAGACTCCGGGACGATGTCGCGAACACCGCCTGGGAAGAATGAGACCCCGATCTCACCACGATCAAGGGATCTCATTAAGGGGTCCGTGAACGGACTTGGGAGTGGTGGGATATCCTCGGCATCGTGCCAGCATCTCTGTTAATTCAATGAGCAATGTATAGAGTTCAGCGGGTGCATACTCACAAGTACAATTCCATATACATTCGGCGAGTCGATGCGGCGCACGATATCCTCCTGGTAGAACTTTATGGACCGAAGTAAATCAAAAAATCCAGAGTAATAACACAGACGCCTACCTTGGTGGGCAATCTTATCCTTTGGGCGGTGGTCATTACCACAGCAACCTGAGAGGAAGATATGTCTGAGAATTGGTCGAATGAGAAGAGAACAAAACCATCGCTAACTTTGATCTGTAGGTCACGTGTATGGGGCACATCTAAGCTGCCGAACTACAATTACCACACCTGTGACAATCATTATCGAGGATCCTTTACGAACATGGAAGATCCGACGTTGACCTCGCTGCCTGTGGAACTCGTTCATAAGATCATCTCTTTGCTGGACTGGAGAACAATATTGGTTTGCCGGGAGGTGCGCACAACGGATATTCTTGAAAGTCGACCGCACTCATGTTATACAGGTTTGCAGATTATTCCACTCAATAGTACAAGGAGATAGTGCTCAATATGAAATTGAGCTTGCTGTATCTGGGATGGTGGACGGCCCTCCAAGCCAACTTACCACCTCAGATCGGCTTGCACTTCTTAAGGAACGCAATGATGCATGGGAGTCTCTGAGATGGGTAGAATCGCGGGATATTCCGATGATGCAGGGACACATCTGGGAGTTATACGGCGATGTGTTCGCGCAATCTAGCACGCCAGATGTCCTTCACTTCCGTCAGCTGCCATCAAAGTACAGGAAAATCGAAGAAAAAACATGGGATGTGGCGCTGGACATGAACGTTCGAGACTTCACAATGGATCCTGCGCAGGACCTTCTCGTGCTCATCGAGGAGCCCACCCAGCTGTATGTTACTTCACTGCTGTATATTTACCAAATCTGACACATCCACAGCCCTCATATCAACGCCACTACCCGTAGCATTCGGATCCATATACGTTCCCTCACCACAGGAGACAGGCACAGATTAGCGCCTCAACCAGCCATTCTCGTTCATGACCTCAATGTGCGGCACCCCCGAGCAACGTATACATTACGAGTGTGCGATAATCTCCTGGGTATCTTATTCACACTCCAGGATGAAGATGCAGACCCCGAACTTACCATATGGGACTGGTCAACGGGCAAAGTTATTTTGGTAATTGTTCAAAGTTCCGTGGTGCCACCCTCTGATCGTCATTTCTTAGACATGCTTCAGTTCCGAGATTGCGACATTTGCATTCCTCAGCAGTCGCTTTTTGCTAGTAGGCAGCATCTTTGACTCCGAAGCTATAAACATACAGGCCCGCCTCTACGTGTTTGATATGACCAAGCCATCTAGCGAAACGTTTGGCCTTTGGGCGGACTATTCTTGCGTATTTCTTTGGCCCGAATTCAACTTCTGGACCAACCCGGTGGCTCTTTCAATCCGCTCTGATCCATCGCCTACCTGGCAGCCTAATCCAGAGGCTCGGTTACCCTTCTCAACGGCGCCTGGGGACAGGCTCCTCATCATTACAGTCTCCTTGGTGAACAATGACCGTATCGTCCCTTACGATATGTTCGTTTCAGCTGATACTTTGCTATCTCATATCGAAGCCCTTCCTACGGAGGTTCGCTCCCGTGAAATCAAATGGGATGAGTGGGGCCCCGCAGGCACACGCTTGATGCGGTCTTTGTCACAGCCTTCCCTCTGGGTGTGCTACGTATTCGGGACCAAATTCGTGTCTCTTACTGAGCCGACCCACACGTCTCCGCAGACTTTGGAGATGTGGGATTTCAACCAGCTCGCAATGAAGCGAGATGCCAAAGTTCAAGGTGGTATCAGCCATCATGTACGTGATACGACGGTAATTGATAAAGTCTTTGCGGACGAAATCTACACGAGTCTACCCTACCGGGTTATCAAGCGCACCCTACCTCCACATTCTTCTCCGGAATTAAGTTTTACTGCTGTCATATATAGCGAAGACAGCCTCATTTTAGTAGATGTAAGCATGCCACACCCTTACCGTATCGAACGTTTCTCTAATGGCGCACGTCCATTTGCAGTCTAGTCACCGGTATCTTCGCCTTCTCACTTTTTGAGCACAAAGAGATCATTGCAATTTTCAAATGACAATTAAAAAGGCCACCTGGATCCTACATTGCCAGTTGCGCGGTAACCACCCAACTTCGAACACTATGTTCAAGTGATATACTTCAGCCAAAACGAGTCAAGGAACGCGAATATTCTGGACAAACGAGGAACTCGGTCCGTTGGCGCGACCAGTGATAATATTGAAAAATGAGTATTGCATTTTATTTGCAAAGCTTCCTGCAGCTGGCTAGGTAGTGAGGCATCCCTAGCAGGGGATGGGCAGGGGGTGTGGCAGGGGATGGGCACAATTTGCATGGTTTAGTCAGCATGCTCGCAGGCTTTGGACCAGACATCCTTCGAGCCATTAGGCCGCAGTGCCCTCGCGAATGGGCATCTGTTCCAGCACCTTCCTTAAATTTCGTATTCGAAGCGTCGTCGTGTATGAAAATCAGAATCATGTTTCCGCGAAAATGGCTCATCATAGCAGTGGAGATTAATTTCCGTACTTCCAACGCTTTTTCGTCATACCTGTATTAGCTCTGCAGGTTTCTTCCAGGACCATCGATTGAACTATGAAGCAAATCATCTCCCCATACTGCTACTGTCCCAACTGTAGGTCAACACAAATCACGGACAGTGAATTACCTCCCAAAAGCAATGGCCTCTAGCGGCCATCAGGACTGATGGGCCAAAAAGTTATACACCATCCCATACAGAGCATGTCCATATTCTCATCGCTAGAAGCAATATAAAGTCATATATTACGACGTAAAAGGCCCTGCAATCAACGTAACGTGCCCTAAAGGACTTACTGGTTCTCTGCCGCCTGGTGCAGATTCTTTGAGTGTCCAGCAGTGGCACATTAAAATCAGAATGAAACGAAAATAAAAGTTAGCATATCAAGGAAAATCACAGCAAGTTACCGATTACCTCTACAATGTAACCCATGTTAGTGACACCAACAACGAGTATTCCTCCATGTCGGCACCTTTACGCTTGCCATTCATGCGGACCACTTGTGCAAGATACATAATAGCCCTGAGATGCGGCCACATGATAAGATGGGATCCGCGCTGGTGGAAATAGCACGTCATATTGCGTGTCGTATTGCAGGAAATATCGCCTAGTTCGTCATATTTGATGAACCTGCTTGCAGAAGAAGTCATTCATGATTACGGGGCACTGGAAGTTGGCTGTAGCCTGGCGAGGACGTTATTGTGGCCTGTGCTATTGTTAGTTGGGTTACTGGATACGTATTCTTCCTGTATAGCTGCGGCGCTACGTGAACAAAGGATATATTATAAATATTTCGGAATAGAACGCACGATGGCAGGGTATGTTAGTAGATCCGCTATCGCTTTCGTTAACAGAACGTTTCTGTAGCGCTGACATCTACTCGGATTCGTGCATTTCTTGCAGCCGGCGGGCCCGGTGATGGAGTGTTACGAATGGGCTTAGCTCCAGTCTCATGATGCGTTCGTTTTGCTCGAGAATATACGCCGATTGGGTGGCAGAAATGGACTCAGATCAAGAAATGAAGTGGCAAGTTAGTCACTGATTCTGTAATCGTGCAACGTTCGAGCAACCTTCAACCGAACGAATGGATGATTCAGATTTTCCCAATTTAGAAGGATCTGGATACGAACGAGAAAGTTATGCCAGACGCTGTCCTATGACTGCGTGGAGTCACGGTTGACTCCTGACCGTTGGCGCTTGGCTGCCTGCCAGCGTGTTCCTTTCATAGATTTCCTCTGATCTTTCTTCCTTATGTACAGGATTTCCTAAATGTCGTTTCACCTGCCGCTTAAAAGCTGCACACCCCCAGCCTAGTCGAGTCATCATCATGCTCTCACATACTATCCACCACGGGCCTCGTATACTGTCCTCCGTTGCAGCCTCAGCCTTGAAAGCACGTCGAACTCAGACGTTCAAGGCCTTCTATGCCGTACGTACTATAGCTTAATCACACAGGGCAGATGTATTGACTCCCGATTTGTCCTTTGCAGACTATTCGAAGTCTTCGTCAACCCCCGCCCACTGTCGAGGTCGATGATCTCGACCCGCGGGATAATGTATGTCTTGATTTATTTTTCCACGACAAGCTAACCTTCCCAGCAGGACTTCATTCTCTCCCTCCTGAAAGCCAATCCTTCTCTCCGGGATACTAAATCTTACCTCGCGAATTTTGGCGTTCGTCCATCAACTCCGGAAAATGCCGGCTCCGTTTTCCCATCTACTATTTCGACGCCCTTGTTTCTAAAAGAAGCCCCAGATATATCTGTCGATAAACAACCAGAACAGGCTAAGCCTGACCCGAGCCCTATCTTGTCTTCTATATTGAATCCTGTCTACCGTCGCACTGCTCTTGTAAAACTACAGGGTCCGTTCACAAATAAGCAGCTCGATAGCATCGCCAGGGGCATGGTCTACCTCGAGAAACTCGGACTTGTCAGCGTTATTGTCGTCGAGAATGATCAGATCAGGGGCGACGATGGAGAGCGCTCCGCTCTCATCGAAGAGATTATGCGAGTTGTCTCCGCATTAGAAGCACAAGGTGCCGAGGCGCGCCCCGTCCTCGGTACCACTGTCCGACTAGGTCCTAAGCCAGATGATGACCAGCTTCGCGAGCCTCGCAATTTTATTCCCCCTGAAGCACATGTGTTTCCCTCGGACCTTGTCGCCATCCGTTCTGCTCTTCGCGCCGGGGAGATCCCAGTTCTTCCTCCTTTTGCCCTGGACTCCTTCTGCAGATCAGTACGGATAGGTGCTAATGACGTTCTTGGCGCCCTTGCTCGCGGCATGGTCGAAGCTGCTGCGCTTGATGATAATGACATGAAGTCAAGTCCTCGTGATCCCCATGCAGACTACTCTCAAGATATCAACCTCGTTCCTCTGCGACTGATGATTATCAGTCGGGAAGGAGGGGTCCCTTCCTATGCCAGAACAGGCTTCCCTCATCTCCTCATCAATCTCACATCCGAGTATGATTATATCCGCGATACTTACGACCCATCATGGTCCAATGAAAAGGATTCTTCGCTTTCAAATTTGTCCCTCGCGCGTACCTGCTTAGCGTACATGCCGCCTACATCATCTGCCATCATGGTTTCTCACCGTTCGCCGAGTTCCCTCATCGCCAACCTCATCACGAACAAGCCCGCCGTTAGCTCGAGCCTGCCTCACGCACTTCTCCAAGGTAACCGAAAACTCACGCGGGACACGCCCACTCTTCTGCGTCGCGGTCTCCCAATACAAGTTATTCGCAGCCTTGCGGACGTTGATAAAGCGAAGATGAACTACCTCTTAGAGACCTCCTTCAAGCGCACTCTCGATGCCGATGCTTTCTACAAGCGCCTAGAACAGAATCTCGACTTTGTTGTGGTCGCAGGAGATTATGTTGGCGCCGCCATTGTTACCAACGAGCCCTCGCCCAATTCCTCTGAACCCGTCTCTTATCTTGACAAATTTGCTGTATTACCTAGTCATCAAGGTGACGGTACCGTCGACTTCTTGTGGGTCGCCCTCCACGACGAATCTTATGGTTTGGGCCACCTGTTCTCCATTAACCCAAACGGGGGCAAGGAGGGCAAGGGTGAAGGCCGAGACCTTGTTTGGCGGAGTCGTGATGATAACCCCATTAACAAGTGGTACTTTGAGCGTAGCTCCGGCCATATGCGGATGGGCTCGTGGGTATTCTTCTGGTGTGATGCTGAGAAACGTCTGAGAGTGGAGGAAGGACGCCGTGCCAACGCTGGTCTTTCTTACGTAGAAGAATGGGAAGAGAATCGCTTGTCACGGTGGGCAGACGTTATCACCAAAATTCCATCTGTGTGGAAATAGAAGTTGAGATCTGTATGTACTTCATAGTATAACACTTCAGTGGTGTAGGTTTTGAATTACAACACTCAATGTAGGACAAGTAAATTATTATCCATCGTAACGGCGAGCCCGCACCAAGTCCCCGACTCCTCTGAACATCTGCAGCGATTCCTGCGGACGAAATTTCTTATCTCCTTCAGTTCTCAGGTGTTCTGGCACCAGCTGTGCTTTACCGTCTCCTGTCCCATGATAACTTTCCTGACAAATCTCCTGGAATCCCTCGCTAGTGCTTGGTCTTTGCATGTGACATGTCAGGCTAGAAGAGCCTGACAGATATCAAAACGCACTACACTCCGACTGCGTTTGCAGGTGAGCCGTCGTCTGGGCACCCAGCCCACAGGCACCAGATAATGAAATTGCCTGGTTGCGAGCGTGTTCAACTGCCACAGAAACACAGTGGTGGTAACCACCAGAATGTCTGAAACTCACTCATACGGAACTGTGATAACAGACAAGCGATTTAAATAGTAGCCATACGCGAAAGATGTGCGGGTCTCAAAGCGATGGTGTAATATTGCGAGTGCATCACAGGATATATTGGGGCAATCATACATGTCATAATTGACATGCATGTCAGTGGTAGGCACGCTCGTCGAACACCGGAGTGGCGCGGTACGGAGCCTCGACGTCCGACAATAAACCTGTAAATGCAAAGAATAAACTGACGGAAATGAACGTGAGGCAAGTCAATGAACCAATGAACCACACGAATTATAAATTCTTGCCACCTTAGATTAAGAACCACTTGTCACTGCTGTTCAGACTGGAAGCTGCGGATAACGGTCAAATCACTGGATTTATTATCCGCCGCGACGGAGACGCATGTGATAGAAAAGGCTATATTCCTAGCTGAACTGAGAAAGCTCTGAACATTGCGCATAAGGTGGACTGTTCCTGCCTCAAGGACTCACGTCTCATCAAATGCCAGCAGGGGCTAATTTCCATCCACAAGTGACATTCTCGGTTCAATAGTGATAAAAACACGAGCACGAGAATATCGGGGACGAGTGCCCCTGTGAATGACTTGGCACCTCCTTCATATGACCCACCCTTTCCAAGCAGCTTCCCAACCCTCCACAAAGCGCTCCTCGGCGAATGCGCTTACAGCCCAGGTACGTGCACGCGTCCTCATCGCTCGCTGCTCCGACTTACTCATGCTCAGCACTGTGTGCATGGCGTTCGCAAAGCTCTGCGGATCATGTGCATGGAATCCCGTTGCTTCACCGTCCAGGGGCACAACAATATCATGAAGTGGGCCGCCGGAAGCGTGCGTCACAGGAATCACACCTGCAGCCTAGTTTCGCCCGAGGTAAGTTGGTATACGAAACAAAGTAAAACAGGGAATCTGCACCATGAATTCAACGACGTTGATTCCAAAATGTTCGTCCACCATCGTGCTGAGCCCGATGCTAGCCATTGCGAGCCAGCCGAGCATTTCCGGGTAACTTGCGTTGACGATGAACTGGACGTAGGGGGTTATCTTGAGTTTTTCTGCGAGATCTCTGAGAGACTGCACGCGGGCGTGGTCGTCCGCGTTACGTGCGCCACCCAGTAGGAAAAGTTGCACAGAAGAGGAGCCAGAAGTATAAGTTGGGTGATCGGCCAATAACTGCGCAAAAGCGCGAAGTTGAGCAGGGTGGTCTTTTTCTGGCCTTTATGAACGACACTTGAGCTCCAGTAACAAATGTAAAGTAGAATAGAAATATACCTGAATTGTGCAATACTCAGAATAATTCTTTCCCTCTTGTCCAATGGGAATTGTGCCATCTCGCGGGTATCGCATGGCGGGTAGACAATATTGGCTTCTGGTTTCTTGCTTGCTGAATCGGCGTTGAGTTTCTTCGACTTCTTGAATGTAGTCGCAAAGAGACGAAGGATAAAAAGGGGGTTGAGAAAGTGCATTACGTTCATGACGGGGTCAGAGTGCGAGAGTATTGCATCGACGTGATTCTTTGTCCAGCTGGAGTTTGCCATAATAAAGGAAGGGCGGGAGAGCGCCAAGGAGTAGTGATACATTAGGAAACGGTAATACCTATGAGGTGTGTTATGATAAGTACCAGTCACAAACGGAACCGCAGCAGGAGATAAAATTCTAAACAGAGCGAGAATGTAAAAGGTGGAAGGTGGATCACTTGTACTCACCACATCTTCCCGCGACTCAATACCAACGAGCCTGCGACGTCTCCGCGGTTGGTATGACCCACCTTTCTGGCCTTCACACGGGCCAGCATGTCCGTACTGATTGTTGGATAATGGATATATGCACCCATAGGTATGGATCCCTTCGTGATCCATGCAACTACGTGGAATGTGAAAGCGTAACCCATGCTGTCTAAGAGGTATGAGCACCGATAGCCCTGCAGCATCCAAAACAAGTAGACCTACCAATGTATAAGTCTGGGATGATTTGGGATAAAGCTTCCCAAGCGAGGAACATGGACCCAAGACTCTGGCCAAGAAGTGTAAAACGCGGCCAAGCGGCATCCTCCACTAGACGTCTTCTCTTTAGGAAGACGAAATGTAAAGATTTGGGATCAAGAGTGATATTGAAGCGTGCTTCGACTTGAGTTATAATCTGTTCTTTTGTCGCGTCGACGTCTCCAGTATATACTAACGAGACACAGTTAGGATGTGCACGTTGGGTAGCCGCTATAGCAGTCCAGAGGACACGTTCGCCTCCCCCACCTGCATTGCTACAAAAATCTCACGAATTAAACATTGTCCAGTCCTTGGCGGAAAAAACCTACCAGTAAGGATGGAAGAAACCGATGAATTGAGGGTTTGATGTGGTGGAGATGCCAAGATTCTTGATGATGGCATGGCGAGCTTGTGCTGAATGTCTAGCAAGTTTATTTGTGTAAGCAGTAAAAATGATGATACCAAGGAGGCCTGTTAGAAGAAGGCACAGCAGAGCGATAGCAAAAGCCATCAGTGCAAGTACTGTATGGTAGCCTGCAGCGGAGCTTTGAGGCTCACCTCGCCGACCTGAGAGCCAAACACGCCGTGTCCACTGTAACTGCCAAGATGTCCCGTTCTGGTAAACCGTTTCAACTTTCGGCATTACATACGTACAACACATACAACGGCCCTCCGGCATTCCAGGACCCTGTCGCTGTTGTTTCCTCTTCCAAGACACACAAACAGCCAAAGAGATATCAGGTCTCCGTGCGTCCTCTATGATCCCGCAGAAGTCTGTACTGCAAATGATTAATCATTATTGACTTCGTCGTTCGCTCCTTGTTCATATACGTATTCTAAAGTCTTGTAGATTCACCCTTCCCGTTCGTGCTTGGTGTCCCCGTTTTTCTCAAGCTCAAAGTCACTGGTACTGACTTCAGGTACTCCGCTGTCCGCTATCTCGTTTTACTCTTCCTCTCCGACTTTAATTGACACTAGCCGTTTCTTGACCATGAAGTTTTTTCTCTCATTCTGCTTGTACGAGTGAGTAGTTCTTCGTCACAGTCAGGTTGGCCAATCGTATACTCAAAAACCTGCAGCAAACTCTCAGGTGACAACCCTCACCTCTTCGAACATCCCGCTTTTCTCATCCCTACGAACGGAGCTTCAGTGTTTTTAGGTGGGGGTGACCCGAACCTTCACAGTCGTATGCCGAACCAATCCATTCTTTAGCGTCTTTGTCATCATTGTGTGCCGCTCATTATCGAAACCTGGGGTGAATCTTGTCAGCGATCCAGGATATCACTCGAGTTTGCTTGCAGTTTGTGGATCAGTTTCCGTTAGGTAATCTCTTGCCCGTGACTGCTCTTAGTATTGCTCATATCATTGAGCAAATTTCCATGTTTATTCGCGAACATTACCTTGACATTGCGCGTGCACATGCCGTTGGAACCGCTTCAGTCGGTATATCTTACGTCTTTGGTATCTCCGCCCAGACTCTCGAGGTTCTCGAAACTCTCCGCCTTCGTTACTTCGACTGGCCTCACGACGCCAGAAATCGCATATACTGCCACCGCAAGAAGACAGCTGTACCCTTTCAGAATTTCAATTGATGTAGGGGGCGAGGACCAACTCGTCTAGGCTCTTGCAAGCACTGAGGTGTCTCATGTCGAGGGAGAGTTCGGTCAAGTCGTCTTGTCTTCTTGTCCTTTCTGGACAAGGCAGCTATGAAATATGAGTAGAAGGTGCTGGGGCTGAATTAGGCGCCACCGCTGTACATTGGCCTGACGGCAGCAAAGAACATAGTTGTGGAATGCCCTGCTCTTCTTCGACCTCGCAGCCATCCCGTTCGACCTTCAACTAGCACGTACCGATGACTTCCCAACGCAATTCTGGCGACATTTTATTTCCTCATTCATCTCCTGTTTGTTTTCGCGACAGACTCGGAATCCATGCCAGACCCGCTCAATGATACCCTCCAAGCATTGGGTGAGGAGCCAGGCTAGCGAGAACAAGCCCAGGATCCGAGAGAGGAACCTCGTGATCAGTGAAATGATACAAGTCGCCATCAACAGTGTGTGCCATCTACCTTCACTCGATACATCATTCGTGTGCCCTTCGCGGTGGCGATGTTCGTCGCGCTGTTGAGCTGTTGGAGCAAGGCACGAATATTATTTGGACCCAGATGGCACGACTCCGCACGCCTCTTGACACGCTCCAGACTTACGGCGATTATGCAGTGACTCTAATAAAGAGATTCAGAGACCTCAGCTCCCTCCTTGATAAACCTCCTGCGAGTCATTCAGATGGCACCCTAGGGGTCGATGTAGAAGCGGAAGAAACTCGGCACAGACGTCTGGTGGAGAACTGGAATGGAACTGTAGAAGAGATCCGGAAGATCGAGGGCTTCTCTCGTTTCCTGTTCCCTCCGATCTTCAAGATGCGTGATGGGCCCATCATCGTGCTCATCGCAAGCAGATCGTCTTGCTATACCATCGATGGATCACGCGATCAGCGGCCCTCGAGGGAAGTACCTATCACTGACCGTCCATTTGACAGTCTCGGACTCTCGGAATGCCTTTCGCAATGTCCGATATCGTACATAATATCAAACTACTCTCACTCAAGGAAAAGTGCCACGTGCCCCTACATCGCTATTGGAACAGCTCATCGCTGTCATTTCTGGCTAAGTCGGATTTGGCCTCGAATGAAAGTTATAAAAAAGCCCAGGAGCTCTGTGAGAGACAACCAATGCAGAGAGCAGTAAATTATAACCCGACAAAACCCTCTCCCACTAAAGTCGGGGTCGGGAATTATAACACTTCAATGATGTAGCACGAGTAAATTATAATACATGGCAATTCGAGAGTATCAATTACTGGACCTGCGTCTCCGTCGCCTGCTCTTGGGCTTAGGCGGAGATAGGGACGCATCCGAAGTCACAACTGTAGTAACAGAAATGTTGTGGTTCTCTTTCAGCGCGTTAGTCTTTAATGGAGGTGCCAGGTCCCCAACCCTTTTCCAGGGTTTATATGTCCTTTCGCTGGAGAACAGCTTTTCCACCATTTGGTTTACACCCCGAACAGTATATTCTGAGAATTTGCCTGTGGTCCACTCGTCAATATTCCGAACAAGGAAGTAAACCTGCAGAATGTCGCTTGGACGATCAAGTTTCCACTCGTGGAACACATCGTTTGATGATCGACCACAGGGACCACAATACGGAGCAGACATCATGACCTGCAATGCCATAACTCCATAAAATAATACAGATTAGAATAAATGGACATACCGTCTTTCCCTCTGATTCCTCACACCAATCAACATGCGCGCGGACAACTCCATCTGCCCAAATAAGCCCCGTGACAGGGGCATGGATACCAAGGGAGTGTAAATGCCGGACAGCAGCAGTTGTTGACATGCGGTTCTGGCGATATGCATCATCAAGAAGAGCGTGTACCGGCTTCTTATCCTCCCAAAAGCTGCTTGCGAACTCAAAGCCAGGCATATCGGGAAGCTGAGCACACGGGGTGCTCTGGTACCTGAAAGAAGATCTCTTAGCCGCATTACCGGCTTTTACTACGGCAGGGTGGTTCTTGAGGAGCTTATATGGTGACTTGGCAGAATGCGACAACGGTCGAGTCCGTGAAGCGGGAATGAAGATTGCGCAGTCAGGGATGACGGTCTTCGTATTCAATACACGGGGCACATCGAAGGCGTTTTGAAATGTGTCTTGCGGTTGTGGGAGCGAAATCGCGCATTGCACCCTGATGTCGTTCGTAAGTGGCTCAACTACAAATGTAGAAGAGATGGGACATACCGGAAGGTGCTTTCTCTGATTCCAGAAGTTCGGAATACGTTGTATCTGTGATATGTCAGAGCCTTGTATTTCGATGTTCAACTAATGCCTCACACGTTAGCCACGAAGTCCGCCTCAGACCATTTCTCTTTGGAACTCCTCATTTGTGCCAAACGCTTCCATGCACTGAAAACGACACATACGTCTTCAAATAGTTCGTTGCTTGCACTCTGGTCGACGGAGAAGAGTTCTGGTGCTGTTCGTGAAGCATCTGCTATAAACTTGGCAAAACCTGGGCTACAGTCAAAAGACTGCACGGGTTGCATTGCATGAACACCATGATAATGGAGATTTGGATAGTTGATATACGCGCCGCTTACCCTGTCTAACCAGGAGCGAGGAATTCGCTTTGTGGTACCAAAGAGATTGTCCACATCCTCTTGAAATTCAGGGGGAAGGTCAGAGAGAGAAACTTGTTCACAACATTGATGTGACGACCATGTTTCAAAATTGCCCAAATTACGAGCAATTCTGAGTGGTGATTAGGTCGGGTGGTTAGAAAACAGGTTGGACCTACTCAGAAGCAGATACAGCTCGTGGTTGACTGGACGATTTGTATTTTTTCTTGGAGTCGGACATAACCAAAGCTCATAACTATGGTTCATATTAATAATCCATTGCCGAGACAGATGAGTACATGCTGACATGACCACCGAGTCCTAAGTTGCCCCGGCATCTTATCCAACAAAAACTGGTGGAATCAACTCTATGTAATATAGTTTGTCAGTGAGTGGTAATTACAAAGGTTTCCGAGTCATGGTCGCCGTAGTACTTATTGTACATTCATAGAGGTCCGTGATATTCAACTGGGTCCGGCTAGGAGAAAGATGAATCATGAGCATACGATATATAGATCACTGAGAGAGGTAATTCACCGTAATCGTAATAGAGATGTTTGAAGATGGGACCATCCTTCTTATCCGATGATGTGAACTTCACATGTCTAGCGTATCTCCTCTCGCCGTCTAATACTTCAAACCCCCATGTCTGAAGAGCATGAGGAACGAATAAAATCAAACGATAAAGTCGTACCAGTTCTGCCTTCCACTCCATGCCACTTTTGGAAGTATCACTCCGGGCTACAGCGAGAATCAACCCGTCTTCAACTGCATCTTCCGTCCAGCCAGACCTCAAGAATTCATCATCCACTTCCTCAGCCTTGATTCTCTTTGATTGTGCTATCAAAGCACCAAAAACATCGTCGTTTATGCCACGTTCCTCCCAATCGAGAGTGCGATACTCAGTCGTGCCTGAGATACCACCAGATAGAGTCTGTTCGATATCTATGTGCTCAAGGCCGCCCTCGTCAGCATAGTGCTTTACCACAAGCGTCAAGGTAAACATCGAGATGGCACGCCGCTTGAACCAAGATATGCCCTGGAGCTTGAGGATATCGTCGCTGTCATCGCTCAATGTCTTGTTCTGTCACCAGGGAATATAATCAGAATTATCCCTGCGATGTACATAACCTGAGCACAACGAACCATAACATATTTCCCAGTGAGATTCTTGGTCGTTACTTCGGGAGGCGCGGCCATGATGGGCAGAAATAATAAGTGTGATGAGACCGACGGTACTTTATGAGGTCCCAAGATATCGCCGCTCTCACCAAGCTCTCACAGTGAGCTATTGTTGGAATCCACGTGGCTGCTGTTTACTTGTCTTGTAACATGCAGTGCACAATAAGTTCTGCCGACAAACTGCCAACATTCAGGTGAATGATCAGTAATCAACGTCGTGACGGAGCAACTTGTCATAGAGGAGATGAGATGAAATGGCTGTAAAGGGACACTTATTGAAGATTGATATTCATGCCCTGTGCACCTAGACCCGTGACAAGTCCGGTCACCACGTCAAATAACGGCGTAGTGTATATCAGGCTGGTCACGAGCCTACCGTACAGCTTCGCGACATTGCCAGGGGTTGGGGGATACGAGGAGAGGAGCTGGAAATTGTCGCGGCGGAGGGCTGTAATTCCGAGACGCGATTGCTCACAAACTGAACTCTCTTGTGGCACAACTTCAGCCCAGTGATGAATTCCATTTGTGATATATGTTCTATAAAATAGTGGCCCATTCAGAAGAAACCATCCATGAACTTCCGCGAGGCTTCGACACCAAGCTGCCATAACCAATACTGATTAGAATGCAGTCACAGAGTCAGATTGAGGAACAAAACGTACAAATGTGGCAGCATTAGCTGGGAAAGCCTAAAGCAATATCACAGTATGTAAGCAATGTTCGGCATAATCATGGAAACGACATACTCTAGCCATCGCTGGACCAAGACCTTTCCATAATGCAGTAATCCCATCACGCGCTACGGTCTTTCTAAAGCAATCGAAAAGTCCAGAATATGTACCAGAAGGTGCAGATTGTATGCGGGATTTCAAAACCTGTTGAAGCAACATGAATAGAATCCTGGAGAGATTTATGGCTCGTGAGGCCTTACATCTGGGGGTATAGCTATTGACCACATTGCAACACCTGCAGTTCCACCTGCGAACATGATGGCGCCTAGGTTAAGGTCTCCTGCTGACGGCCCAGCCGGCGTCAGGGCCTTCTTGGTAACTTCATACGCCGCAAAGTAACTGAGGAGCGATATTTTAATCTAGGTCGAAGTGTTTTCAAATGTCAGATGAAAACTTACACAGCACTGCCTGGTCCGTCGCGAGCGATAGTTGCACCAGTGCCTCGAAAGATGCTCCGTATACCACCTTCCCTGTAGAGGTGCTTCATAACATCGAAGACACCTTTGTATTGGGGCCCTGAACCTCCTTGACCTTGCACCTGCAGCAGAACCTTTGCTCTCTCAACAGGTGCAGTAATGAGGGTCGTCGGTACGGCAGACAAGAAACCGGCAGCGGCAAGTTCTGCTGTAGAAAGCTTCTCGGATGTACGATTGGGTGTGAATGCGAGTATTAAATTCTTAGAGGCATCGTATGCCTGGAGGTAGCAGTCTCAGCAAGACGCGTAATTTGGATATAGGCACCGTATATTTACCCAGAAGGACACTGCAAAGATTGGAGTGACTCCCAACAGTGGAGGTACCATTCCACGATACAAGCTGTTGATTGAATTGAGAGTAGCCCTGAGCATAGACACAACCACTCACCCAGTGACACCATCTCGAGCTAATGTTTTCCTGACAACATCAATTGCACCAGTATACGCGCCAGGAGCTGCGGTCTGTAACCGGGTCTTGGTCAGGTCAAAAGGATGCCCTAAAAACGTATCAGCGTATGTCAAGATGCGCAAGTCAAGGCTTCTTACCTACGAGGACAGCAGAAACTCCTCCAAAACCTCCTGCAATAAACGATTTTACGTTGTCAATTGCCGAGTTCTTGGCCTCCTCGGCTGCTGGTGCTTCGCTGCTCTAAGAGTTTGTGTGAGCGTGCTGTGCGCTGAATGAAGGATGGTTCTGACCATGCTGGACGGTGCGAAGTCTTGAGATGAGTATGAGAAAAAAAGAGAACAGTAGTAAGCGAGGAATACACTGCGGTGCTCCGACAAGGACCCTTCGGATGCGTTTTCATATGATATTCGCGCGTCAGTTTAGTATGATTTGCCCCGATCAAACTCCTCCACCAATGGTCAAGCTTTCATCTGCTTTCACAAGCCACCTTACCCCGCAAGTATGATGTAACATCTAGAAATCGGACAGAGAAACCCACATGTTGGATGTCTCAAGTTGCACTTTAGAAAATCATAGCATAACTAATGTCACATAGAATCTACAAATTAGTCGTAAAGGATTCATCACCGTCCTGTTCAAATCCACCAATCGGCTCATATGTGGCTTCAGTAACATCCCTCTTCCATACTGTCCGGACAGCATAGAAGAACAGGCCTATCAACCCAACGCCAAGCGCTCCCACGAAGAACGGCGCGAAATATTCGATCCACCATGGCGGATGATACGGGACGAGCATGCGGTCAATGGTGATAACACCGCCCGTGCCCCCGCCCGTCGTTGCTCGACCCCACGTTAGGACACGTGCCCAATCAGCTTGTTTGTCTGTCCCCCTTGCATTCTTGATCCCGACCATGTACTGGGATACTTTGTCGTCCAACGCGCGGAAGACAATATCACCATACGCTGAAGAAGGCGAAAGGAGAGTGGGATATTCGCCCAAATCTTCTAGCGGAAGGGGACGATTGTTATTCAAGACGTCGAAGACGTTAAATGAACCAGATTCTCCTGCAGATGATGTGTGAATGAGGTGTTGGCTGACGATTGAACGAAGAACGTCGATATTCTCGAGGAGTTGTGTGAGGTTGTTATTCTTGAACGCATCATCCGTTGGACAAAGTACGGTCCAACTTGCCCCACTTAAACCCTGGTCTGCCCACTTTGAACCTTCAGGGGGAGCGGTTCCATTCAGGATCCAGTCGAATCCAGCTTTCGTGACCATGTTAATCATGGTGGTGGCCTTGGCCGCTTTCATAAGCTTTCCTACATTTAACTCCACGGATCGCGGGATCATAAGATCTGACAGCTCATGTATTACGCCAGTTTCGGTGAGCATGTTTGTGGGATATAACGCGCTCTTCATGCCAGCCCAGCCACCGCTGGGGCTAACGATAACAGATAGATTTGGCAGGCGCTCCAGTTGTAAGTCAGATGTTTCAAGGGTGGCGAAAGTGCGCACAGAGCCGTCAACGAGGCTCTGGGAGTATTCAATACCGTCTATGATATGGTGCCTTATAACGCGCTCCAAGTCCGTCTTGGATGACGCAGCTAGCAGATGGTCGCTGACCAGCTTACCGAGCCGCTTGAAAGCAGCATTGTGAGGGATGAGGAACGTTGCGCGGGGCGTCTTCTTGATGTCTTCTGCAATCGACGTGGAGAAGACTGCGGCAAGGAATGAAGACAACTCAAGAGAGGGTAGAGCTGTTTGAAGCGGGTCCACAGGTGGTTCCAGAGGTGATGAGATGAAGTAGACAACAGTATTGTTGATAACAACTAGCTGTGATTCAGTACAAGCAAACTACATCGTTTGGAAATCACTCACGGTGCTCTCCAACAATGCCAGCTCCACCAAACCTGATATGTCTGGATGGGACATCCTGCTTCTCATCGTCGTTGACCTCTACGTGTATAACCTGACTCCCATTACCAAGACCTGGCTCCTGAAGTACACTTTCTAGTAGCATGCCGTCTGCCAACTTCTTGGGCGTCCATTTCCCAGGGAGAAAGTGGTACTGCAACATCCTCTTTAACTCATCGCTCCCCTGTTTGGGTAAGCCGTCATTCCCGAAAACGGATAAAACATCGTCCTTCGGTGCTAGGATGGTGTATTGAGTCTCGGTATCATTGATGAGATGGGTAAGATTGACTGAGTGTATGAGAGAAATAAACAAAGTGCAGTTGAGTGCAAGAAGGTATTTTTCAGGTGTTAGCTGAAAGGCTCCTGGCGGAACCAGTAGAGAGGACACGAGGTGTAAGACTCCATTACTCGCATAAATATCGGGCTGCGAAAGGGTAGCGCCTGATACTGTAGTCTTCCCTTCGGAGACGACGACTTCCAACTCAGATCCATATTCAGTAGTCACTGCACTCCCAATGTCAACACAATAATCACATGTACGGATTGTTGCTTACAGGTGGTGGCTGGGTCGAAAGTGTCCGACCATCTGACACTCTTCTCGACAACAGCATGCATGTTGAATATGCGCAGGAGATCATCTGCAGCAAATTGGCTTTCGAGGTATAACCGCTCAATTGGATCGAGTGCTTCCCATGCAGAATCGACGGGAATGAACAACGTAAGCTCAGAGGTAGAGTTGATGACATTGAGCATGCTAGGTGTGAGGACCTTCTGGAAATATGACAATGATGGTTCATGAGACAGGACACGACCTAGGTGGGTGAGTGAGAAAAGTGTTATGGTATAGATATAAGAAGAAACTAACCGAGGTGGTGTGGAACATCAAGGACGTGAGCAATCCCATATACGACACCATTTGCCGCCTCCACCTTCTGTTTCTTCACTTCAATACCCCCTTGTCCAAAAGCGTCAACACCGACCCAGCCTACGCCATCTCGTGAAGTGATGCGTAACTTCTGAGATCGGTTTCCTAGAGTGCTCTCGGGTATTGGCATCCATGGGGGAGGCTTATTAGCAGGGAGATCCGGGGAGAATTTCGGGAAGTGGAGTGTCTCATGAACTCGCAGTGTGGTCAAGTCCTTTGGATCTTCAGTTACGGAGTAATTAAGGAGGTGGTAGAACAGTTGCTGACGTAGCTCCTCTTGCACATTGTCTTTGAGCAAGTTAGGATACTCGAGGGCTGACCTCCAAAGGTCGTGACGATTAATTGCGTCGTTAGTTGGCGCGAAAAGGGTGCTGTCATTCAACTTGTTCAACGTTGGGATGAGTTTAGCTTTCTGCAGGAGAGAAAGGAGTGATGTATAGTCCTCATCATTATTGAGAACGTCGACTAATGTTTGGGACTGAATAGTGGCATCTGAATTCCATGCGATTTGAGTAGTCGTGGAAAGAGCTACCAAAGCCAGGAGAGTGAGTGGTATGCAGCCCCAGAGGCGCATTCTGGTATGAGTTAGCTAGCACTGAGAGGCTGGCGAAAGGGAACGTCAAGGAATAGTACTAAAGCCGCGCACCGCAGTCTGCGAATTAATATGACGAAGGTGGCTAAGTCTAGTAGTATACGTAGTCCGATCTTGGCCAGAAACAGTCGGAAGCACAAGTTTTCCGGAAGCATATTTAACAAGTCACGGTCGCCTGCCCTCCTTCACCTTGCAGCAGAACAATAGAAAGCTTACAACGTCAGGCAGCCTACTCTCTACGCCCTGGCATGGTCCGCTCCACGTGAATCAAACAATCTGAACTCACATTCGCTGCACAGATGTTAGATCTCCTGAAAACATTCACCGGCTCTCCAGTTGGTGCACTTCACCAGCTGGTTCTACCTCATGTCACTCTCATAGTGCGCAGTCCATCTGCTCAATTTCAAGTTCATACTGATCAAGATCCTCTTCAACTAGCTGTACCCCTCTGCAGACACTGTAGTAATCCTGGATGCCAGTACTCTTGACCTCGTACGCGTGCTCACCTTCGGGGAAATCTATCCTGGCACCCAGCACCTCAATCAAACTATATCTTGCGTGGCAGTTGACTCCGCCATGAAAGTCGTACGTGTATCTCCTCTTTTACTCTCCCTCCCGCTACGCCTAATTTCATGCTCGAAGTAGATAGTTGCTTCCATGGACACGCACATTGCCGCATGGTTATTGTCAGGTAACAATACCTGGAGAATTCACTCTTCTATTTCTCTTCAAGATAGTGACTCCGTCACAACTCTGGACTGCAGATCTGGTACTAGTCTTGTGTGCCCTTTATGCATCAACTATTGATTTCTACTCAGGGCTTCTCTCAGTTGGCAGTCAGAACGGCCTATCCGTCTACACGTTGATATTGGAAAATGACCTTCTCACATGGTCAAAGAAGTGGGAAGCAAGGTACAGCGGCGCATGTTCCTTTGCCTCAATATCATTTTCACCTCGCTCGTCAGGGTGGCAACCCCGTCTCTCGCGAAATTTGCTCCAACTCTTGCATTTATTGCCACTATATCTCACGTACGGGACCTCACGCTCCGCTTCTAATACCCACTGAGTTATGATTTACAGCACGATGATTTGGTTAGATTATATTCAACTACTTCCGGTCGCTTGGTGCAAGACATTCCTCACCCCAGGCCCGTTACGGACTTGATGTGGAGGTTTTCTCAGGCATCACGAAGGTCGAGCATTTCAGACACTACTTTTGACACGAGACTTACACATTGAGTGCAGTGGTGATCCCGCACTCTACACCATTACATCTGATTCCACGCTGCGGATATTCCTCCCTGTGATTGACGCACCGCATCGTCTGCAATTGCATGCATCCCTCGACCTTTTCTCTTCGCTTCCGTTCCTCATTGCAGCAAAACTTGGATCGCATTCAAGGTCTACGGTCATGTGGTTGGACAAAGAAGTCGTCCGGCGCACGATTAAAGCTGTCCTAGCGTCAGCTACCGAAGATGCAAGTCTTGAGGTCAAGAGGTTGCGAGAAATTGATGAAGAAGGTTGGGATCTCTTTGTTCGCGCTCTTGGGGATGGCTCTATGCTTGTCAGCGCCGTCGCAGTAGGTGTTAATAAGATCTATTCATTCGACGCAAATTCAAACGGGTTACAGAACATTGACCGCAGACCTCCGACGCTCATACGTCAATTTGCCCTTTCACATACGAGTTCGAATGTCCTCTCTCAGCTTCCTTCTCATCTGTATCTTTTCCCACACCCTAATGTCACCAGCTTAATCATGGTAACATCTGCTCCCCTCACTACATTCGAGGTGTCGCCCTTAGCCTTCTTTGATGGCCAATCCACAGGATTGTACCTTAATGCCAAAGGACTTGATAGGTTTCCCCATGAGGAGAGCAAGATACGAAGACTGGTTAGGACGCCCGCCGGAAGAGGCGTTGCAGTCGTACGCGTCGATGGGGGGGAAGTCTGGCGTGTCATTGAAGGGGGGTCTCAGCTCGCCCGAGGAAGACGATGGTCTAACGCAGACCATGTTGTGGTTCTGGATGGCGGTAAGATGATCTCGTTTTGCACGACATATGACCTGATTTTTGGTGCAGGTAAGCTACTAGCGACATACTCGTCCGAAACCTCGGTCTTGACTCTACATTCGGAGCCCATTTCGACGCTTACAATCCTTTCCATCACCGACTTATTTTCGGCACCCTCGAAGACGGCGCATGAATGTATTGTTGGCCTGACTTCAGACAGTTCTATCGTATACATATATATTGAGAGCAAACCTAATCCAACCTTACGTCTACATTCCAAGAACAATCTACCACTGGCCCAGCCGCCAAAAGTAATCATTCCCGTCGATCCAATGTCGTGGAGTAGGGATAGCTCCTTGGAGGAGCATGACACATTACTCAGTATCTCTGACGATGGCGAGCTTTCGTTCTGGATAGCAGACGATGGAACACCCTCTGGATGGAGATGCACAGGAAAGGTCAAGACGGGAAGGAAGAAATTCGCTCTGGCAAGTTGCAGCTCTGCGAAAAAGTCTGTCCTAGGTGAATAAGTCTTTCATTGTAGAGCTGTGATAGCTGACATCTACACTGTCTTGATATCTCAGTTGTACAGCTGCCGGATGGCCAAGAGCTTACAATATGGGACTCGAAAGAATCTGAATTCGCCTCAGGTCTTGAGCATCGCAGAATATTCAGGTGGGCGGGACAGTCTGTTGTTAGCACTGTCTCATCCATCATTTCGATAGTACCTCTGAACATATTAACGACTTGGACTGGACATCAACACCTGATAATCAGTCGATTCTGGCTGTCGGTTTCACGCATCATGTCGAGCTGTTGTGTCAGCAAAGGAAAACTTACTTTAATGATGACCCTGCGTGGGCTATCTGCTGGAAAGTGGATATCAGAAAGTACGTTCGGTGTTCCAACGAGCCTTTAGAGTGAACTGAATTCTCGCCAGTTACATCTCATATCCGATCCGTGATTCAATATGGCTCGCAAATGGGTCCTTCTTGATCGCAGGGGGTCACCAGTTGTTTCTCTTTGGTCAAACAGCACTGCAAAAGGATCAGGAACCCCTATTTCAGTACGTTGCTCGACATAATGGACCCCTGGAAGATTACCATCCGCAAATGCTCCTTCAGTGCTTGCTTTGGGGTAAGTATTGTGGATGGAGTAGGAAATTGATCTAATTATTTTGTAGGTAAGGTGGAGTTGGTGAAGCAAATTATCGTTGCTCTATCTCTAGCCGTGAAGGTTATATACGAAGACCCTACGCAGAATTTCCACTGGAATGCCTTTCCTGTGGAACAGTACCTGCGTGGTCAGTATATGACATTTGTAAGCTGTTTCAAGATTCTGTCATCACTGGTGATAATTATCTTCCAGAACAAACCTTCAAAACGATATAAATTCTTGTTCAGCACCCCGCAGGAGAACTCGTTGTAAGTGTTCCCCTGTAACAGCATATGGGACTTGCTCACATTTTGAAGACCGGATGAAACCGTCTTCTCCCGCCATATGGTGGAGACACTCATCGAGCAACTTGAAACGCGACCTCTTCCTCATTTGACTCCCAATGAGCACGCATGTCTTCTGGTTCTCATCCAGACGACCCTCGAGGTCAGTGTGCGAATGCATAGCAAACCATCACAAACTCACCTTGTGTGTAGATCGAAGAACAGAGACGAGCACTGGACGCTAACGGCCTTCGCTATGTGATCTCTATGCGGTCATTTTATATCCTCAACCGTCGAGTCACATCTGATCCCAGCAGTCCACGCTCAAACGGGGCAATACCGCGATCAACAGGTTGGAGGGAACGCCTGCGATATCGTGATATGGTCTGGGCCTTTCACAGTGAGAGCCAAGGGCTTTTGTTAAGTACATCGACGGCAGCGTGCAGTGGAAGGATGCTCTGGTCTGATGCCCGAGCCCTTGGAGTCTTCATATGGCTGAATTCGGTTGAATCCCTGGTATGTCCATTGTCACACTGGGTATCGAGTCATGTTGAGTTTCGGGGCATGCAGAGGGCTCACATGGAAGTCATCGCACGGAATGAATACATGGCTGGTGATAATCGTGACCCTACAGCATGCTCGCTCTTCTATTTCGCACTGGGCAAGGTGAAGTTGGTGCATGGCCTGTGGAAGCAAGCTGCATGGCACAAAGAACAAGCCATTATGCTGAAGTTCCTTGCAAACGACTTCACGCAGCCGAAACAGAAGACTGCAGCACTAAAGAATGCGTATGCTCTGCTAGGTAAGCAGAGATTTGGTAAGTTTCCATACCCTCTTTGTGGATCCTGCCACTACATGATCGCTTTAGAGTATGCTGCTGCGTTCTTCCTCTTGGGAGGGAGTCTGAAAGACGCCGTTCATGTTTGCCTCAGGCATCTGTCAGATCTTCAGCTGGCGATCGCTCTCGCTCGTGTGGTGGAAGGAAGCTCCGATGGTCCTGTGCTGCGGGACATACTACACAATACCGTGATCCCTACCGCCTTTCGTGAAGGCAACCGATGGCTTGGAAGCTGGGCCTTCTGGATGCTCAATCGAAGAGACTTCGCTGTCAGGATACTGGTGGTAAGTGAAGTCACTCTTTTGCGTAACCCTTGAGAGTTCATTTGGTTAGACACCCTTGCGAGATATCGCCGATGCTTTAGATATACAAGTCATAGAAATCGGCGAACCCCACTACGATGATCCTAGTCTTGCGTTACTGTTTTCCCAACTCCGCTCCAAGACGCTGCAAACAGCTAGGGGCACAAGCGAGATATCAGGCCGCTCTGAGTTCAACTTCGTGCTCCAGATCGCCCGGGTGTTCTGCAAGATGGGCAAGTGCGATCACATGTCAAGCTAGAGTTTGGCTGACTAGCTTCTCTACAGGTTGTCATGCACTAGCGCTGGATCTCGTGCGTTCGTGGTCCTTTGAGCGCCCATCGATATCTGTCCCTGCTCCGACAGAACACCCACCAACACCGTATGCTACATTGCGGAGATCTCTTGCGCTAGATCCCAAGCTACGCAGACGTTCGTCAATTATGATTGACATGGACATTGCATCTCCGGCTTCAACACGCAAAGTCTCTCCCGAGCGTTCGCTTGTCAGGGCACCCACGCAGGAGACCATCAAAGAGGAGGGTGACCTCTTAGCACGCAAGGCAGGCCTCGGCAACCTACTTAAATCTGCTAAGCAGGACGTCCGAGTACCAGAGTTCAACATGGATTCGTTTTCATTTGTCTAATCCCTAGTAGATTCTGATCACCTCTCATGGGGTTGTGGACTTTGGAATCCCAAATGCGAACTGTATGTTAGGACTTTAAATCTGAGCGGTGTAACTGTAACGTTGGGCGATACTTACTCTTGAGATCTGAGAACAAGCGTGATAAATATGCATCCATCCAAAACAGTCATGATTCAATTGTTCGTAAAAATGTAGTGACAGAAGATCTGTAATCAAATGTAGGGAGGGCGGATAAGCGAAAGACTAAAGAGTACAAACAACTTTGAAACTAGCACGAAAGGTTTTGTCGCCTGATCCGGGTGTACACTATATAAGGTATGACTATGGCAGAGGGTAGCCATGGAGTTGAGATCTCATCGCCTTCATTGCTCGCTATCAGATTCACGTTTCTTGAGTACGAGGTCCTTGCCCATTACACGCTTGAACACATCTTGCACATCTTCAACGACAGTTTCGAAGTGTGACGTCGCATCATACGAGCGTGTGATGTAGATATGATCTTGCTTCCCGTTGGCGACGGGAGTGTATATGGGGGAGACGGTCACGAATCTGTTGGATTAGTCAGAATGAATGGAAGTAAAGAAAGGTGAAGAAGTGTCGTACTTGTCGTAGATGCTGCCTAGGAGATGGAGACCAGGTTGTATTTCATTCTCAGGAGCGGAAGTCTCGACAATTGTGCTGACAATTGCAACATAGATGTTATCCGCGCATACCTTGTGTGTCGAGGACACCATCGCAATGTAGATATCTGTGCCACACCATGAGCATGACTCATATGAGATCATCACAAAACAGACGCTTACCATTCCTCCTATTTACCTGGTTTTGCGGGATAATAATTTGCACGCTATCGCTCTCCTCCGTACCAGGAATCGGGTGCTTCAAGATACAGATCGCTCTCACCACCTTACCATCTTCTACCACCCTCAGCTTGCCACCCTCCGCCTCCTTTCCCGCGCCAAAATAGCTCGGGTCACCAATAACCATCTTGGCACGTACGGTCTCTGCTCCACTGCGGACACCTGCAAATGACCCATCCTTGTTGAGCACGATCTCATCAATCGGCTTATCAAGCATGTAGGTCCCGCCATAGATTGCACTCAAACGTGCAAAGGATTGGGGAAGCTCTCCAAGCCCATAAAGAGGGTAAATGTAAGGGGATTTGCCCCATCGTGCCATAGAGGTGGTGTACAGGACAATACGCTCGTAAGTCTCGCGAGCAGGTTTGTTAATGTAGCTGTGGAGACGTATTAGTGGACTTGACGAGGTGTAGAGAGATCACACTCACTCATCATCGAGATAGAGTGCCAGGGCATGCCCGATGAAGTCTTGAGTGCCGGGTTCTAATCCGAAGTGCTGGTATACTTTCCTCATACTATCCTTATCAAGATTCAATCCTGTCCCCGTGTTAGAATGATAAAGTCTTCACGTCAACACATGTTTATGCAGGCTCTCACCTTGGTGAGTTGTCGGATCTTCTTCCTCCCACTTCTGCAGGAATTCGAAGAATTTCTTGGCTCTATACTTCTCAAACAAACCCATCAACGGGCTCCTCGCTGCCTCTACTTCCGTGCTCGGGACCTTGCTGATCTTACCATTCTTATACACAAATGAGCCAGCGATCTGCTTGAACTCAAGGTATCGCAAGACATCAGTGTGAACGAGTATTTTTACGAGTTCACCGGAGGCGATGATGAACTTTGGGATAAGATCAACTGCATAGTCGCGGTCACGACCCAGGTCGGCGGGCGGAGATTGTTTTGGGCGAAATTTACGATAGAACTGAAATCGTGTGTATTCGTTAGGGTGTCGAGTCGTTGATTCCGCTGCAAAAAAGACGCCTACCTGTGTTAGATTCAAACTAGCAGACTCTCCACCATAATAATCATTTCTGTCCATGTGGAGTACTTTCTTCCCCTCCACGGACAACAAACCAGAGAGGATACACTCAGTGAGGCCAGTACCAAGGACAATGACCTAGATCGTGCCAACCAAAACCAATGATCAGATGTCAGTACAGATGAATGAGATGGAATCAGGGGCGGTTAATTACATCGTATTCTTCATCCATCGTGATCGGCTATGCGGACTGAGTGTTGAAATGTACTAGGACTAGGAACAATAGGTAGTGGAGGACGTTATGGAATGGTTGGCGGTTGAGCTCGGTTGATAATCTGGGCTGGGCAACCTGGACCATGCTTACGGTTGCCTACTACTTATAGTTTAAATTAGCACGTGACCCCAACACCCAATGGTGAGCATATCGATTCGGCCTTGTTCCTGGACCTCGCTGCAATAAAGAATCCAGTGCTTCAAGTTGTCAGCCAACGGCGTGAGCGTATGTACGTGTCAGTCTATGAACCGGTAAAAATCGACATGATCTATACTAATCAACGAAAAGACTTGTCATGTCACATACTACATCCCAAGCTGCTGGATTAATACATATTCAGTTGTCGGCCTTGCTCGTTCAACAGCTTATCACGGAGAACTCGGACAGATGTGCTCGTCTTAATTTTTTCTCTCCTCAGACCCAACACAAGGATAAATCGATCAATTGCATGCAACTTCATTATACACATTGTACAGGCACAGTTTGATTTGTTCTTGTAAAGGCTCACTCCACTGAGGAAAAGCTCAGTCAGTACTAGGAAGTAAGAGGATGGGAGATACCCACCATAGTCGTAGTACAGTTTGACGTCGATCGGTTCAGACCTTTCCTTCGTGGTGAATCTGAAGCGCCGGGCAAATCTCCTGACACCTTCGAGGATGACGAAACCCCAAACCTGACGTAGATCATTCAGATCACATCCACTAGACCGAGCCCATCAAACGCACCACATTTATGACCCAGTCCCTCCCGGACTTGGCGGTGTCACTTTTCACGACACCGGCAATGACGCCATCCACGAGGGTATCCTCCGACCAACCTTCCTTCAAGAAATCGATATCAAGATCCTCGACCTTTGAACGCCAACTTTTGGCGATCAGATGCCCGAAGAGGGAATCCTCCTTGGAAACCTCCTGACCATTCAAAAGTAGACTGTCTGCAGGAGCTTTGAAGCCTCCCGAGAGTGTCTGTTTAACATTAACGTGCTCCACACCGTCATCGTCCGTGAATTGGGTGGGTTCCAGTGTAAGGGTGAAGTTGGCAATAGCAGTACGCTTTATGTAGCCAACGCCCTGAAGTTTCAATGTGTCATCAATGTCGTCGCTCAGCGCTTTATTCTGCGATATATCGTGAGCGTTATGCGATAGTGCATCAAAGTAAGGACCCACGAGTCTGAGTTTTCCTGACAGATTCTTAGTCGTAACGGTGTCAGGACAAGCCATGGTGAGAAGAGATCGTAAATGAGTGGAAAACAATAAGTAGCAAGGGCGTGATGCCTTGCCTTCTTATATTGTGAGTAGAAAGCCTTGATCTCATATGGAACGAGATAAGGATCCTATCAACTCGATGATATCCCCGGGCCACGACCCTTGACCGAGTGATACCTCTTTGAGAATAGCGTGAGTTCTGAAACGAGATTTAAACGCTTGATGAAGTCAAGTTATTACTTACTTCGGGGACGCGCAGTCGACTGCCGAGCCTTTGTGATCAGCACAGGCGAGAGTCATCAACGTAAATTACCAAAACCTGGACAATGGTACGACAATTGTTCTTGTCATCAGATCTCAGCAAGGGTAACCGGTCATGACCTCGGTCATGCCCGATTACCCTAAATTTGGTGTCTCTTTGGCAACATTAGGGTAATCATGACCCCAAGTTCGAGGACTCGAACAAATAAAGTTAAACGTAGTGGTTCGCCATAGTAGCAGCTCTTATTGTACATTCATAAAGGTCCGACTAGGAGAAAGATGTCGTGAGCATATAGATCACTACGAGAAATGACTCACTGTAATCGTAATAAAAGCGTTTGAGGATGGGACCATCCTTTTTATTTGATGATGTAAATTTCAAATGTCTTGCATGCCTCCTCTCGCCATTCAATATTTCAAACCCCCATGTCTGAAAAATATAAGGGACACGAGTAATACGAAGCGATGAAGTCGTACCATCTCTGCCTTCCACTCCATGCCAGTTTTTGAAGTATCGCTCCAGTCTACAGCAAGAATCAACCCGTCTTCAGCTGCCGCATCTTCCGTCCAGCCAGATTTCAAGAATTCATCCTCCACCTCCTCAACTTTGACTTTCTTTGATTTGCCGATCACAGCACCGAAAACATCATCGATATCGCCACGTTCCTCCCAATCAAGGATGCGATCTTCATTTGAGCCCTTGATACCGCCAGACAGAGTCTGCTCGACGTCTATGTGCTCGCCGGCCTCGTCTGTATAATGCTTGACGCCAAGCGTCAATGTAAACATCGAGATGGCACGCCGCTTAAACCAAGATAGGCCCTGGAGCTTAAGGACATCGTCGCCGTCGTCGCTCAGTGATTTGTTCTGTCACCCATGGGTACGGGACATCATCAGAATCGTGGCTATGACGTACACAACTTGAGCAGACGAACCATAATATATTTTCCGGTGAGATTCTTGTTGGTCACTTCCGGAGGCGCGGCCATGACGGATAAAATGAGCCTAATCAGTATTAAACTCTACATATACATCGTTTTATACTGTCTCAACATTTAAACGATCTCACAGTACTCTTGGTGCGGTCAGAATTTCACACGATTTCTTAAGTTCATATCAATATGACATGGACGTTTGATCTTTGCTGAAGCGCTGACGTTTGGCTGTCAATCGTTGTCTACCCAAGACCATTCTTGTAGAATCAGAATCATCGATGCCAATGATGTGATGGTTATACCGAGATATAACGAGCAGCGCATGCAACGTTCAAGTTTGGCTGACGCTAGTCATCGATCTAAACGAAAGATTTGGATATTGAAACCCCATTCTTGTATAATCATAGTCAATACAATCTCTACCTCCAAGCAGGAAATGACTCTTTACTTATCACTTGCTCTGGTCGCCGCCTTCATCTCAGTGGCAGTAGCTCCTCGGGTACGCAATTCAGTCTCTACCCATGGCCTTGCGATAATCCAAAGGAACAAGTGACTGGCCCAGGATGCAATGACAGTTTCTCACAGGTCCTAGGTCTTGCCTGAGCTCGAAAAAAGATTATTATCATGAGAGAAAGGACGAGGCACGCTATCATACAGATCTGGATGCATCAGGGGCAGCTTCCTTTTGACGAGCACGCCGTGACGGAGAAGGAACTTCTATGGTCTGCCCATGGGAGACTAACTTAAATTTAGCCTTCGGCCGCCTAGGATCAGCGAAAATTATAACGCTCAGTAGCATAAGATGTTACCTTCTAGTCTATTCCTGCTTTGGAGGAAATACTGTGATGACCCTCCATATGGCATCCTTGCCACGTTCCCAAGCTTGTGGTCCTCTAGCTTCATCCCCTCCGAATTCAACCATAATTCCGTGCTTCAGCCACTCACACCAAATGCCAATAGATCCAGATGAAGGCCCAGCACCACCGCCTTTCCGATCAGGTTCTCCAAGGCAGCTGACGAAATCTTTACCGTTTGATGTGAGCGAGATCTCGATCGAGGACTCGTTGGACGCCGAAGCCTCAGGTGAGAGCGATAGGTTCCACTTTGACATGGAATAGGTAGAAAAGGCGAGCTCTGCTGTTCGATTGGATGTAGTTGTTTTTGTGGTGGTCGTCTTAGGCTTTGGGGCATTGTAGATGTTAATGCTGTCAAGCACTAATGAATCAACTTGAAGGTCCTCGAGCTTCAGCCCTCCAGTGGGCTTGTACCCGTTTTGAGGGATAAAGAGAAAGCTGATCCCTAGTGGATAGTAGTTGAAGTAGACTGCATCTGAATATGATTTCACAACGGGAACCGTCAAGCTCGTGTTGGAGTGTTGAACGAGATCTTTCAGAAACACGGTTATGGAGTCAGCGGATGGATTGACGCCCAGTAAAGTCTGGATACCCGACACCATCTAGTTTGAACGAGCAGAGAAATCAATCAGTAAGTTTATCTGGTACTCGAGCATGAGCGTACGACGGTAGGATAAGAGAGTTCCTGACAAGTCCGCTGCTATGGATGCTAACGAGATGAAGAACAAAATACGCGAGTGGTCACGTGGTAACATGCCACATTCGGGTCTCGAACAACTAGTCTGGCAGGCGTGCTCAACGTGATGCCATGGCTTCATCGACACCAACTGCCAAGGTCGAGCCTGAGGACTCCAAGTCCTTCTCCTATGAAGGGCAGCATGAAGAGTATTCTTGGCTCGAAAATGCCATATCTAGTGCCATTCGGTTCATCATGAACCTCTTTCGCCCAGTAGCACCTCAGCTGATTCCATTATTCGTATGTCTTGCGTTAATTCCAGTTATCATACTTTTCTCCCTTTTTTCTGGCTGGTACGTTTGGAAGAATGTCGCTGTAGGTTGGGAGTCTCCTCTGTATCTGCAATATGGGTGAGGTCTCTTCCAGCCGTTCGGCTGTTGCTCATGGTACTTGTTTCGTTATAGCGATGGTACTTCGCCGTATGCTGAGATATCGTTACCATCTCTGGTACCTAGCCAACTCTATGATATCTCCATGCACCTCGTTATACCAGCATCAGAGGCAAATTTTGCCCTAGGGAACTTCATGACTACTTTGACGCTCTCGACGTCTTCTAATAGAACCTTGACATCAATTAGGAAGCCAGTAGGTACTGAATGGTATAGCCGCAGAGAAGATACTCACAGATCCCAGGCTATAGTTCTACCACCTACAAAAAGCCGAGTATGGTCGTCGCCCAAATTAGTCAACCTTGACATTCTCTTCCTTGAGTCGCACGCACCCGGCGCGTCTCGCGTTATCGCCAGAGTGGAATTGGGGCGCAGGGATGGATGGAGGGCCCTTGGTAATGGTGAAGGGCGAGAGTTAAGTGTTTTTTCTGCATTCCTGAGAGGGGCCGTCAAGCACCACGGAATTCGGTAAGCACACTTGTCGCCGTTTTCATTACCTGAACCTTATGGTCTGCTACCGTATAGGGGGCTTGTGACACGCTTCCCAGTCACTTTTGCTATTGTATCATCTGCCACTTTTCTCGTGATATCTCTTCTTGTGCTTGCGTCATGCATACTTCCCGCAATTCAGTGGCGCTTCGCAAGTGAGGACGACGGATCTGGTGAGCTGACCGAAGAAACCGCCAAAGAGCGCATATATCGCAAGAGGCGGCAAAGGAGAAAGTTATCCCCAAAGAATGAAACCGATTCGCCAAGCGTTCGTCTATCGTCGAGTTTTATTAATTGTATGCTGAACGGTATCCCAGGAATACAAAACAGAGGATGTACCGATTGATATGCCTCCTGTGGTTACGTTCTCTGAACAACCATTGCGCCGGCGTCGCTCAAGAGCCTCAAATGTTTTATACGATTCTGAACCTTAAATGTTTCTTCCTGGACTGTAATTGTTTTGCACGGACATATTTCATTGGTACTTTCGTGACGATTGTATTTATAGTTATAGTTCTGTCGCTGGTAGTAGTAGGTACAATCTCAATGTCTTGTAATTCCAGTGCTGCACACCGTCTGTCGACTTCAATTGACCTTACGGCCGTCCTCTCGTAAATTGCCTACGCGGACTCTAAACATCGCGAGGCGCCTAGTGGACTGGATGACAAGGTAAGGTTTAGAATACTCCGCGACCAGTACCATGCGAAACGCGGTGGTGGTCAAATGAAGAGCGTAAGTAATTTACGAGAGGACGGCCCGTAAGCTCAATTGAATTCGACATTGACAACGACATTTTAGAATGGTAGACAAGAGAAATTCAAAGTCCGCGAAACACATGCTCCACATGTCTCGGTACCTCTTCATCCCTGAAAATTGCCACTATTAGTACTGACTAACAAAGAATGCAACCTGACCCGCCAGGACGTGTCATTATTTCCATTTTACTGACTCCATTATTACTACACCCACTCTGAGCACAAACAGTACCGCTTAAATGTCCACATTGCACCTCGAAAATCTCTTCGCCGTCTCAGGGAAGGTAGTTCTCGTGACAGGAGGTTCTCGTGGGATTGGGAAAATGGTGTGTCCCAAAAATTTAACTGCGCATGGTGGTAAGGACTTAATTTTTCTCGCAGATTGCCTCCGCATTCGTGAGGAACGGTGCCAAGGTGTGTACTACAACCTCCTGGCACATGGAAGGGACCTGACCTCCGTACCGCCCTGAAATAGGTCTATATCTCGGCCCGTTCTGCGAAGGAATGTCAAGCCACCGCAGAAGAACTCGGATCCAGTGGTCCAGGTTCATGCACCGCAATCCCAGCTGATATGTCTAAATTCTCTGAAGTGGAGCGGTTCGTGCAAGAACTCTCCGCGCGAGAATCCGTTCTCAATGTCCTTATCAATAACGCGGGGACAACATGGGCAGAACCTATCGACCAATACCCAGTGCGTCAATTACTGTCGCCTTTGTTTCTCTCTCTGAATATCATACAACAAAGGATGAGGGGTTTTCAAAGGTCCTCACTCTGAATCTGCAACGTGTGTTCACTCTGATGCAAAAATTGCTGCCATTATTACGTGCGGGCGCAGCTCAAGATGGCAAGACAGGGGCCGTATATAATGATCCGGCACGTATTATCAACGTGAGTGCATGTTGAAACTTCGGAGATGTCCTTCTATCAACTTTTGATCCCATCAGATTGGCTCGGTCGAGGGCATCGGTGTGCCCGATCATGACACATATGCCTATGCTGCTGCCAAGGCTGGTCTGCATCACCTCAGTCGCCACCTCGCCGGCCGCCTTGGGCCCGAGGGCATAGTCAGTAATACCATAGCCTGTGGTGAGTCCGCTCTTCCATTCACTTCCCAGTAAATTCACCGACTTGCGTCGACATTGCAGGTGCGTTCGAAAGCAAGAGTAAGTCCATTTATGTTTTTGTCGTTTCATTGACTCGAATCTTACAGTGACGGCCCAATTTTTTGAAGCTGTGGGGAACATCATCATCAACCAGGTCCCGACGAATCGTTTTGGTACGCCAGAGGACATCGCAGGCGCCACGCTGTTCTTGGCAAGCAGGGCTGGTGCATACGTGAACGGTGCGACCATTGCCCTCGATGGTGGCTTTCTTGTCAACATGCCGATGAGCAAACTGTAAGAAGGAGCTCAACGTTATATGCCTTATCATTTCGCATTCAGGAAAATTATGCACGAGTAACCTAACCACATCCGGCTGGCAGAGTTCTGCACCTTCCAGACCAATTCCAGACACTAATATTTTCGTTCCACTTCCATGGCTGGTATATAGATCAAGCAGATATAATACATCAGACTATAAGGGTCATTTGTTGTCTTCCTTTGTCACGCTCGCGTCCCTAGTGTTTGTGCTTGTCGCTTCCTTCGCCTTTGCTTTCTCATCACCCTCACCACCCTTCTTGGGAGCATCCTTTCCATTCCCACCACCACCCAAACTCTTTACCATATCCTCTGCATCGTCTCCTTCAAGCCCAAGCTCTTCGACTAACAACCTCAAATCGTCATCGGTGACTCTTACGCCCTGCAACCCGTACCCCTCCAGCTCCGTGCTTACATCAAAGTTGTCCTCATGCTTGTTCACCGGCTTCAATGGGGTATCTGGGTCACGGGGAAAGAATCGGGGCTTGTGATGTTCCGGCGTCATTTGCGCGATGGGGACGGCCCCGGGCACACCAACGGGTTTGACCTCGGGCGCCGGACGATCTTCGTCGGTGGCGATGTCCCAGCTTTCATTCAGCCGCAAGAAGGTAGCCAGCCCTTCAGTTTCGACAGCTTCTTCGCTGTATGGGGTAAATCACCATTGAGACACAACAGGGTAGGAGAGAAGGCTTACAAGGCATCAAAGTCCTGTTCGGCGCAACTGCGATGAGTACTTATTCAGAAGGCGTGGATAAGGGCATACCCCACTAAATTTGCCGCCTACGAGTATACCTGGAAGCTGTTGCTTATCTGCCGAATCCGTCCGAGAGGCAGTGTAAGCGCAGTATCAGAGCAGGATGAGATCAAACGCACCAGGCGGGGCCTTACGCCTCCACAAACGTTTGGCATCATCGTCGGAGGCAAGATCATAGGAGGTGTATGGGATCTTCTTGGTTTGGAGGATGCGAAGAATATATTCTGGTTCATATGATGGTAGATCAACATGGCGCACGTTCAGCGTCTATGTACGAACCTTGGCGCTTCCTTACGACGACCTGCGACGCGATTGTCGTGAGGAAAACTTGGATCGGGGGTGAGGGCATACGTGCTTTGGAACTTCAGGTGTTCATGAAGTCACGACCGTCCAAGTTCAAAAGCTGATAGGTATCACGTGAACGTAGAAGACCGAAAGCAGGAATTTGCTCCACCTGAGTCCACCAAGTGCATACGTGGATCGCTTCAAGTGCATAGTGTCGTTAGGACGCAGACTGATGCATGCGGTTGAAGCATCGCTAAGCCAGGGATCAACTGGTGGATCCATCAGACGGAGCTGTATCAAGCTCGATATAAATATGCATATCTGCTGTAATCTGCTGTGTTCGAGGTGATTTGGATCAAATGAAGTGAACTGATGGGCAGAGCAGAAAGCAACTTGATTTCATACATGAAGATGCGAGATATACAAATGGTTAATGATGGAAATATTGCGTGATGAATACATAACAGACAAGTGATCCATTTCCTTTGTCTTCATTCCCCTCTGTTTAAAAAGGTCGGGACAGCACGTGCTGTGACCATGGCTCGCACGCTCAATGGTGCGTGGGCATATCAACTGACGCCTTGTTGCCAATGGCATCTTCTTGGCGCCAGAGACTCGTCGTGGTCTGCACCGATGAAGTCGACAACTAAGTTCAAACACATAGGGCTTGATTAGACTTACCTTATTTTGCGTGTAAAAATTAATACCACTCTTCCCATAGAACCCGATATCACCAAGCACACTGCCCTTGTTACCGCTCCATGCAAACATAGGCAAGGGAACCGGAATAGGCACATTGATGCCAACCTGTAGAGTCACGAGATGATATTGCATTAGCATCAGTCCAAGTTCCCTTGAAGCAGTGACCCAAAACCCCAACATCACAGCGCATGAAAGAATAGAAACACACCTGCCCCACATTAACTCCCGATTCGAATTTCCTAGCTGTCGCGCCCGACTGCGTGAAAATCACAGCACCGTTGCCGTACTTATTTTTATTGATAATATCGAGCGCATCGTCGAGCGTGTCTGAGGTGATCACGGTAAGTACCGGGCCGAATATCTCTTCGCTGAGTGTAGCGACGAGTATCAGATTGTGACCAGTCATGCATGAGAGATAATACACACCGGTAGCACCGCATCTCCACCGTTCCCTCTAAAACTGTTGGACCTACAAAGTTACCAGCGGAGTACCCAGGAACTTGAACGTTCCTCCCGTCAAGATGAATTCGCCCTCCTTCGTCTGCACAAGATGCGATGAGGCCCGTGACACGAGCTTTGGAGGCGGGAGAGATGAGGGGGCCACTGTGTGCGGTGCAGGTCAACGTTGCGCAGGTTCAGAGGATGGTGAAAGGGTACTTACAGATCTGCACCCTCCTCAAATCCTCCATTCACGTTTAGTTTTGATGCGCGTTCTACAAGCTCAGGGAGCCATGATTGCGCTGCGCCGACAAGTACAGCTATACATGCACAGATGCACCATAACGTAGGTGTCAAACGGCAGGTTCGCACGACTTACCTACTGAAACTGCCATGCACCTCTGTCCCGCAGCTGTTCAGGCACGATCGTGTCAGCACAGTCCACATTAAAAGGGTGGACGCCTACCGCCGAATGCAGCACCAATAATGGAGTTGAGCGCAAGATTCTTATTTGCTGTGTATTACGTGAGTTTCAGTCACACACAATGAGAGGTATCTTACCATCAGGCATGATTACCGCATGATTCTTTGCGCCCAAATTTGCCTGCACACGTTTGCCGTTCTTCGTGGCCCTGCCGTATCCATCGACATGGCTCCGAAGATCATAATTTAGCTCGTTCTACTCACCTCTCGTATATATGTCTTCCTGCACGATCTCCTCCCACAAAGCTCACTGCTTTGATTGCCTCGTGATCACAAATTCTGTTGACAACAGGCACGGTCCCATGCACCACGTTTACTACACCTTCGGGGAGACCAGCACGGGCACAGAGCTCAGCAATGATCATGGCTGCACCGGGGTCCCGCTCAGATGGCTTAAGGATGAGGGTGTTACCAGTAACGGTAGCAAGGGGGATTGTCCAGAGGGGAATCATTCTGAATAGGGACGTAAGGGGAAGCCAGGGACGTGTAGAAAAAAGAGCTTACGCTGGGAAGTTGAAAGGTGCAATGCTGTAAGAGGTAAGTGTATGTTTACGTGGGATACTTCAAAACGGACCTCGCGCAGACGCCGAGAGGGAGCT